GAGAGAGAGAGAGAGACCAAGTTAAGAGATCGTTTATCTAAATTTCTCAGACCTCACGGTTCAAAGGAAATACATAGTATTGCTTGTACACACTTCGTACGGACGAAGCGACAGATATTTAGATATTCTTCACGTGAACGTAGACGAACAAGACGTGGCCTCGTGCGTGTAGGAACATGACATCCGTTCGAAGGTTCGCATACTAATGGGTTAATAAGCGGCTATATCTATAGCTCGGAGACATCGAAGACCTGTCGTAATCTAGGAGTAATGCACTCGCATCGGGGAAAGTAGGATATCCTGTGAAACACGGCGTCCTGTAGTTTTCGCGAGAGACTACTCGCTGCGGCAGCACTAATTGTAAATGTTTACCAGTCAGTTTTTAAAGCGGTGCCAGAAACAACTTTATAAATTTATAACTTCGAAGAATCGCATTAAGCGATAGCTTAAATAATTCCGAGTCCGAATCAAAAATAAATTTTAATGAGTTAACATGTCGTTCTGGCAAAAACGAGAGAAATCCCAAAATCAATTAAATAACACAGCAAGCTATCCTAAAACCGTTTTTCAGAACTTATATTCATAAATTCGTCTCGAATTCGATAAGCTGAAAGAGGTTCGCATTTTGCAAGTCTGTTTTCAACATGTGTTTTAGCACGCATAAAAAAGATTTAAAAATTTAATTGAATTCATAAATCCGACCGCCGGAATTTTACGGACGGAATATTTGTTTGCAATCTATTTAAAAAACGAACAACGACAAGGCGATACGAACAAATTTTTTGTCATGGATTATGTCATCAGGATAAAAAAATAGCAAAAAATTCGCCAATGTTGTACTACGTTTGTTAATTGATTCGTTAAAACGACATTATACGGATTTGATGCACTTGAAATGGCTTGAAAATTCTCGAATGTGCGAACGTTATCGGCAAACTCGCATCGGCGAGATCGACGATGATACTTTCACCCGCGTCAGGTGTAAATGAATCGACTCGCTCTCGTGGCTCATCAGCGAATCATTTCCGCCGATCATTGACGCTGTGCACGCGTTCCCTCAAGTGGTGTCCGTCTAATATGGTGAAAAAGTGCATGAAATCATGTTGCATAATTGGAACGTATCAGACATCGTATAGTTTTCTAAACACACATAAAAAATCATTATAATATAAATTCCGTCACTTTCGAGACCAATAAAATATTTTATTAAAATAAAACGTGGCATTTCGGAAAACAACGGAATACATTACAATTTATTAGACTCAAGTCCAAAGAAGATAACGAATTAAGGAAGAGTTATGCAACATTGAAATTTCGACGGGCTCTCGGGAAGTTTGCTGATCTACGATTAGGGGAGGGGAGGGGATAAAACTTTGGTATACATAGAGATACAAGAAATTGGACCACGGGCCAAAGGGCTATTGTGCTCCTTTGCAGGACGGAAACTTGCTGAAAGTTGCTTTCGTCGTATTTGCACGTGGAATCGCGGCATAACGAGACACACGTGCTAACGGTAGACGCTGCTCCGGGCGCCGATCTCTTCTCTTGAACGAGATTCCCAGAAAAAAAAAGAGCGAGACGAAGAAAGAGAGAGAGAGAGAGGAGGGAGGAAAGAAAAGAGAGAGGACGAAACACTCGAGCAAATGGGCAAAGGGGATCGCTTTGTGCGAAGCCGCCTATAGGATCGGCGACATCCGACCTTGAAGATCAAATCAGGATCACGATAGCCTCGATGATGTTAGACTTTCCCGATAGTTGATTGATCATCGATAAATGCCGAAGAAATTCCGTGGCTTAGAAACAAAATTAAAATTAGAAAGATAAATAAGAGTTTTAATAATAGCGATTTTATGGTAATTTCACCTATCCGAATGTATCAACTCGAGATTACGAAGGAAGCTAATATATGCTTAGAGAAGGAAAGTTACGACCAAATGTAGAAATTTTGGCGAAAGCTCGATGGTGATTATTTTGAGAGAGGAACGCTCGAAATTTCTGAATTATAAAATAGTAGCAAACACGGCAATAATTACATCTTAAATAAGAGGTAAAATGAGAAAAATATCGATCACCATGATTATCTCGCACGACTCTAATTATAACTTTATCTTTTATTTAAACATTTTTTTTAGCCCGTGTAACGAGTGTTTCATTCGTCCCCCATAATAAAAGATCCGTCTAAAAGATTAATCAAGTTAAAATTCGATAATCCAGCTAATTTTGTATACACGCGTATGTGTTATAAATACGTTACAATTTATAAATATTCATGGAATCAGACATAGGTGTAATTACGCGTGCGTATTTATATATATATATACGTTGTGCGCGTAATAAACGCGGGGCACGAGCGCGTGCACACATCAGATGATTCGCCCGCGGCTCTAAACGATCGTTAATTAATAATTAGCATGCATGTACGCTCACGTTTTCCTGTTCGTCGGTAGACGAGAGTCCGGCAGGAG